CTCAGGTCAGTGCGATCTTCCCACGTGCTCCATACGGCAATAAGTTGGAGACTTCAAACAAAAGCGAACTGCCTGCCAAGGCATATTCCAAAGAATGAGGATCACGCGGAGAACGAGGCACATGCCCCTACTTTTCTGCACCATGGTTCTCTGACCTTCTGACTTTCACTGAGGAGCACAAACCAAGTATCACGTCATGAAATGATAAGCTAATGTCCCAGGAGAATGTTGCTTGCTTCCCTTAAATTCACCAGAAGATCTAAAGAACTACTGATCAGATGTGTAAACCTACAGGTGCTTTGGTGTCTTACACCTACTTCACACACACTATACTAAGTTTTGAAATATTTTTAAATAGATATTTATTCTTCATAAAATCTGTTTACAAAAACACAGTTTGGCCTTAATATAGAAATAATTATTTTCTCTTAAAAAAAAACCCCTCTGGATGTTTTCTAGTTGCTCCCTTCTATTTAACTCATAGGGCAGTTTGCTTTATAGCCTAGTGTGCTTCAATACTCTGTCATCAAACTGCAAAGTAATTCCATGTTTCACAGCAGAAAAACAAAACGAGCCAAAGGTAGTGAAGGTTAAAGATAAAACTTAATATAAGCAGATATCCACAAAATCTGCTCCTGCGGACTTACAATGCTTCCTACCTGGTTCATACTTGCAGATGTAATTGTGCTTCATGTTGCACCTGTCATCATTCCACTGGTAAAGGTAGGGACCCCCAAGGCCAGGATTGGCTGTTGGCTGATGATACATCACAACACACTTTTCACTTCCACAGGAAGGTTCATCAGTATACCAGTTTCTGCCAAGTACAGAGCAGCAGGAACACTTCTCAGTGACTTCGCCTGTTCTATTCTGACATCCTCTACAGATAACAGAAATCTCCCTTTGTCCTCTGCCGTCTGAGTACCCCCCTTTGCGTCCTCAGGATCCCTACTCACCGGTACTGGGAACTGCTTCCATCGGACCACTGGTAGAGATCTGGGCAGGCACCAGATGTTTGCCCCTCTCCATTTCTCCAAAGCCCTATCCAGAAATCACCATCAGAAATTCCGGTTCCTGGCTTTGTCAGGTTTTGCAACATGCTTTCTATTAACTTCTGTTCTGCTTCATTCTCAAGGCTGAGAAGGACTCCCCCTTCGCTCTCACAAGCCAGGCGTGCCTCCTGAAAGCTCACTCGGCTGGATAGCTCATGGAAGTAGGCCATCTTGTAGCAGGGATGTTTGAAATCAGCAAAACATACCTTTTGGCCTGAAGAAAAAAGATGCCCATGTACTGATTATCTGAACTATATTCATAATGCTACTCACTACAAATTAAAATGAAAGAACCAATCAAAACAGAAACAATCTGCCAAGAATGCTTCTCCCATTGAACCATTGCATAAAGTTTATTTTCTAGATTCTCATTGCAATTTACAAAAGCAAATTGATTCCCTAATAAACTTGTAACATAAACTTTTAAACACAGTATATCAAGGAAATTTTTGTAAAGGGAAGTCATAATTCTCCTGGCTTAGATTTTGTAAACTGACACCAGAGCGAGTGAAAGTAGCTAAAAAAAAATGTCAGGTATACACAGTAAAGGAAGCTAAAAGGTCAAAATTATGAAATAAGAATCATAATTCATAAAGGAATTATTAAAAACAAGTAAAAAAAGCAAATTTACATAAGGTATCATGAAGTGAATACATTTAAATAATTGAAATTTAAATAAAGTGGCAAATTTAAGGTGTAAATATTTGTTTTCATTGTATATATCTGAGAGCAAATACATTAAAATTGAAAGTTAACAGAAGTCAGAATGAAGGTAATGCTAATGATAAACAATTTATTGGGGACTTTCCTGGTGGCGCAGTGGTTAAGAATCTGCCTGCCAATGCTGGGGACACGGGTTCGAGCCCTGGTCCAGGAAGATCCCATGTGCTGTGGAGCAACTAAGCCCATGTGCCACAACTACTGAGGCCACGTGCCACAACTACTGAAGTCCATGCGCCTAGAGCCCGTGCTCCATAACAAGAGAAGCCACCGCAGTGAGAAGCCCATGCACTGCAACGAAAAGTAGCCCACGCTCTCAGCAATTAGAGAAAGCCCACATACAGCAATGAAGACCCAACACAGCCAAAAATAAATAAACTTTAAAAAAACAATTTATTAATATAATATTGTATTAGAAGTGATAGGTTAACCTTCTAGAGTACTTATAGAATACTCAGAATTTGGAGGTGAAATTGAAAATGTAATTTTTATTTTCACTGGTATTTTAAAGGTTTTTATAATTTACAGCACTCAGTTTAACCATCTATCCTGATATCTATTAATGATTTTAGAAGTCACTATACAGAGAATATAAACTTGTGTCAAGATATTAAATGGAACCACAAGTTAAGCTTAAAATAATTCTTGAGACCTCTTAATGAAATATCACCTTTTATTATCAAGCTTCATTGCTGTGACATCACTATACTTCTGCTCAGACTACATCAGTGAAGACTTAAATACATAGGCAATGAAAGTTTGACTTAAAAGCGCTCTTAAAATTGAATTTCACATACCTCTAGGAATTGAGCACAATGAATATTCCAATTAGTGACATAACTACAAATATGAATGATTATATTGGGTCATAATACAGCCATATATATAACAGGGATATTACAGTGTACAGGATTTAGCAGTGGAATTCCTATTATTGTACTGTTTACACCTGCCTCTTTTTACCACCAGTATTTGGTATGTCAAGATTATAGACGCAATCTCCAGGACAGTCATGCTGTTTTGTTTTGTTTTTCATTAGCTTCCTTGGTTCACCTCTGATCTCTGCTGTCAACTTTCAAAACTGCCATGGATCCCTCTCTGTCACTATTCCCTAACCCCAGCCTGCTGTCCACAGCTTCCACTACCCTTTTAGTCCCTCTGATTTCAGCTTGAGGTTTGACCTTGGAAAATAGACTATCTAGCATTTTATGTAAAATTAAGGCAATTACTTCATGCTAAGAAATCAAGGCATAGTTTCACTGCTTACAATTCTTGTTGGGATTGAAGGCTTTTTCACTATGCATTTAATTTTGTAGCCGATCAAGAAAATTTGACAGTAGTGGAGGGCTGGGGGGTGTATTATATTTAAACATTGGCAAAAAAAGTAAAGCATTCAAGCTTTGTACTCTTAATTACAGTACATCACACTGAGCCAGCGTCGGTATCACATCCATTCTCCCCCAGAATCAGCAATTAATGACCGGTGATGACACTTAGAGGCAGGAGGGAGCAGAAATCAGCGGAAGGCCATTAACTTCACAACAGTGTTTGAGTAACAGGCATTCAATAAGTTGACACTGCTGAGAACAGCCAACTAATAACAGAGCAGTTCCAGCAATGCAAGCAAGACAGCCAGTTGTCCTCTTTGTCTCATTAACTGTGATCTGGACCCAGGAGCAACACACTGAATAATAAGAACAAATTAAGAGACTGCCCCAACTAATTGTTAATGAAAAATAACAGGCTCATATGAGTGACCACGGGGAAACTGGAATTAAAGAGACATCAAGAGGACAAACCAGTCTGAAACAAATAATTCTGGAGAGATGACCATGGAAGTCCAAATGGTTGATCCTAATAAAATTATTATTATTTTTAAATTTCTCCTAATTTATTATTAGGGTTTGTGATGTCTTCATTGTTTAAAATGGTTGTTCCTGGAAATACTCTAGCAATGCCATTAAGCCTAGTGATTTTTATACCTGTATTTTTAAAGCAAAGCTCTGTTTCCATTTTTATCTTCTACATCTTTTTCATATTTCTAAGTCTCAAAATATATCTGGACTACATTCCCTTGAGTTTTCCGTTTGTTCAGTTTTTTACTCCAAGAACTCTCAGACTTCAATTTGATTCCAGCACTTGTGAAATATTAAGTTGTCCAATGAGACTGTTTTGCAAGATAACAGAAAGAAGCCAAATTAAAAAAAAAAAAAAAAACAGATTAGCCAGAAGTTTTAATGAGTAAAAATTATTTATGTAACAAAGCCAGCACAAGTTCGGAAAATGCCTAGGTATGACATATATGCTAGAAGTCTCGTCTCATTATCTTTGACGTACTAAAAACAAATGCAGCAGAGATTTCTTACTTATGGTGAGAATACAAGAATGATGGTGAAAATTACCTTATTTATAAAATTAAAATAGCACTTCTAATTAAATACATAAGAGAGCTTTAAGTGTCTTGTAGAAATTCCTAATATCACTATTAGGTACTAGGAATGTCAATCTGTAGATAAATGTTAGTCTGTAGAGAAATAATAATAACAATAATAACTAAAGAAAAATCTATAGACAGGGATTATATTTAAAATAATTAAGAACTAATACTGCACAAGCCCTGGATCACAGCCAGCCTTGGCACTCTCTATGCCGGGCATCCTCTCTTTGGCTGTGGATGATGGAGTGGTCCAAGGGTCTTAGATGAGGGGATGCAGACTGTGGTGGCTGCATAGCAGGGGGAGTCTCAGAGGATCAGAACGGTGGCCAATTACCAACTACAGACAGATATTAACTCCAAAGTGCATTACCTGAATATCAGCTGTGTCCATAAATTTTAAACTGAAAAGTCACTAGCAGTTCAGATCTAGCAAAGCAGTTTTAAGGAAATTATAGATACACTGTAGTTTTTATAGTATCTCTATATAAAATCAGTTAAAGCTGACACTGGGAATTTCTTCATATCCAATTCTCTTTTACTACTGATTTCCACCTTATGGTGCAAATTTGGTCCAAGTTGCAGCAAAATCAGCAGAAGCAGCAGCTACTGAACTGCTCACCACCATTTCAGCTGATCACACTTGGCTGCAACAGCAGTGGAACTCCCAACAACTGGGAAACAAATGTTGCCCTAATTCCCAGAAAAGTCCCATTAATACAGATCTTCTCAAAGAAACTTTCCCACTTCGGTAAAGGCTAATCTTCTTAGGGAACCCTTATAATTAGCTCCTTTCTCATTCTGTGAGATCACATGGAGAATTTCCTTTTCTCTTACTTTTAAATATTATATTCAGATAAAATCTTCCATCGACTATTTTGACCAGCAGAAAGCTAGTCTTCCCTCTACTACATCTAATCTTCCATCTACTATCCTACCACCCATAAAATATTCAGATAAATATTCAGATAACCATATAGTAGTTTTTATCACACTAAGGCTACCTTGATACTGTCTAACAATAATTTACTAAATGTTACCTAACACCTGTAGTGGGAAACCTCCCTTGATTGTTGGCTTATGTGCAAGAAAGACCTTTCACCCAGTATTCTACACCTCCTGGTTGCATACATACACACATGCACACACGCACACTCACACACAACTACATACATACACATGCACTTTAATTTAGAGATAATTTTCAGTATCGCCTACTAAAATAAACATTCCTATCATTATCACAGCTAAGATTCTGCTACTATTTCTATGCATAGATAATTCTGTCCTTTTTCTTAGTCATGAAAATTCCTTTAGAGCTAAATATTGGCAGAGTTTTCGATGCTTTTAGCAACAATGTAAAAGCAGGGCCAAACTCATAGTCATGGCAGTTTACTTTTTTCTTCCTGAATAGAAAGGATCTATGACTTGGCTTTGTTTTGCTTTTATTTATCAATTTTCTGGAAGTTGAGTCTTCATTTAGTTGTGAAAGTAAGAACATTTTTCTTATACCTCACACTATAATCATATATTGTCAACATTAACTAAGCATTGAATTTATATCATATTTTTCAGTAAAAACATGGAAGATTTATTATGAATTCCTGTTGTTCAGTTATGATCTACCTTTAGTTACAAAGAAAAAAACAGTTGTACAAAAGAGGACCTATATGATAAATCTTCCCCAAAGCAGACTGACCAGACTTCGGACATTTTACTAGAATCCCACAGAATAATTAGTTTTTCATAATTCTTTCTTACTCTACTCAAAATCAAAGGAATAAATATGCTGCAACTACAACATACAATGTGACATGACCTCCAGTAGTAAAACTTTCAAACTAAAAATGGGAATGCTCTCAGACATAAGTATTCTGCTTTCAGTGTTCAATATTACACCTACTTTTTAAGACTTTTTCATTATAAAAATGTTTTGTTAAAATAAATTTTATTTTTGCAAGAGATTTTATAATGCAATGAATTGCATAGCGCACTATTAAGATTGTGCTGGAATCCGTTTTCCTATATTGATAAACAACCAAAACTGTAGTCTTGGTCATTGTTTGCATGATGGTGGCATCTGCAAGCCCTACGTCTCCACCTGGGAAATATCACAAACTTTCTGAGAAGGGGATGAAATTTATTTTTTTAATCCAGTATTTGAAATCAAGATCTAGATAATAAATTGTAAACCAAGTAGATAAATTGTAAACTGTGTGAGTGAAGAATTCAAGCATTCAATCACTAAGAGCTGGCTTGGAATCCCAGAACTGTACTGGAACTGTGGGGACATTGGGGACATTATTTAAACTTTCCTGACCTCAGTTTTCTCACCTAAAAAGTGAGAGTGGTTAGGAGTTTTAAAGAAATAATGACAATAATAATAGCCTGACAGGGGTCTTCCCTGGTTGTCCAGTGGTTAAGACTCTGCGCTTCCGCTGCAGGGGACACGGGTTCAATCCCTGGTCAGTGAACTAAGTCCCACATGCCACGCGGCACGGCCAAAAAAAAAAAAAAAAAAAAAAAAGCCTGACATTTATCAATAGTTTAGTGTGCAGGGCCTCACTGCTAGCACAATCCACACCTTTGGGTAAATTAGGAAAGATGATCTCTCCTGGTGATACAGGCTGCTCAGCTTGAAAAAGTTATGCTTCCCTCCAGGTTGCCTCAGCTGCAGGCACGGGGACTGCCGCATTGAGCGCCCTCTCCCAGCTTCCTGGCCAGCAGCTGTGTCCGTGAAACAACCTGCACTACTGTGTTTGAACCCCTTTAACCCTGCAACAACTCTGTGATGAAGGTGCTTTCATCCCATTTTAAAAATGAGGGAAGGGAGGCGTAGAAAAGTTAAATAATTTGCCAAACTCACATGGCTCATAAATGGTAAAGGGTTTAGAACCAAGCAGACTGGCGCCACAGTTCATACTTGTCCCCAGATTTCTATGCTGCCTCCAGGGAGGTCTCAGATATATTTTTCTAAGGTGAAGAATTTCATGAATAAAGGGATTGATTAATATGTACATTATTACTATGACCTACGTTACCATGTTCAGCATTGTTACCGGATCGCTAACATATACTAGGGGTTGTACATTGAGGGTTTGTTTCTAAGCAGAATGTAGATTTTCTTTTACTGAACATTTAGACACAGGATCCATATTGGAACATCTATCTCAGATTGTCAGACCCTTTATGTCCTTAATGACTTTTTTATCTAGCCCTTCTATTTTCCAAGTAAAACAAACAAGGTCCAAACTGAACTTTTTCCCAATTACAAGGAGTATAACTTTAGTCAAATTGTCAGGCTGTGTTACATTATCAGTAATATGTTAAAACAGTGAAAGAAACAATCTTGTGTCCATCCGTCCACCTGTGTGCAAAGTACCTAACAGAAGAGAGAAGGTTGGAGGAAGTAAAATTGCTAGTGAGGCCATCAGCTGAATTTCCACTTTGGACACATTTATACAACACTGTCCACTTTCTAATGTTAATGTAACAGATATTGCCATCTTCCAGAAAAAGAATTACAAAAACAAAACCAAAAAATGATGAAAAACAGCCATTAAGGATTAATGGCTATGGTGAATGTGTAGTTTATTACCTGACTGGTAATAAGATTAATTTGTTCCTTTCTTGCCCAAGAGATACTTAAAGTAATTGCATCTCTGAAAACTGCACGGTCATCACTTTATGCTTTTGATGATGTCATGGAAAATAGTACCATAGGCTGGAATACGCTCAGCAGTTTTTTCTTTTTAATTTTAAAAAGTTTTTGTATCTCCCTTGCTATTATATTGATCTAGGTTACTGGTCACCACCCATGATTTTGCAATATTCTGTGGCATTCGCATGATCAAAACAGAAGTGTCTAAATCGCCCAGTCTTCTAAATAAAATGTTTGCCAATTTAAATAAGTTCAAATTAATACATATTAAAGTGTTCTGCAAAAATGTGGAGGTACCATGAAATACACTTAATGCTTTTTGCAGCATAAACAGGTTGATGGATCACTGCTGTGTGCACTAAAAAGAGAAAGTAAAAACAAACACACACATTACTTCAAAACACTTCAAATGCTTAAGAATATGCATGTGCTCTTCAAACATATCCTCCCATCTCAGAGACCTGAATTTTGAACTCCTCTTTTTCATATGTATCCTTATACCCAAAAGTAAAATCCTCTTACCTTTGTTCTAAAGAAGGTGTCATTACCCACCAGTCACTTCACAGATTTAAATGATGGCAGACCCCAGAGATATCCTCTACACATCTGGGTGTACAACAAATCAGTAGAGGTCCAAGACCTTAAAAGTAGTTCCCAAGTTAGAATCACAAATTCACTAAAAAATCTTTGATCATTATGCTTATAGTTTATATTTTTATTGCATATCCATGAATCAAAATAAGCACAGCCAGTAATCTACACAAATACTTTTCTATTACTGCTAGCTGCTATTAAATCTTATGGGGCAGATTATGATGATGTTTGAAATGTTATTTCTCATTTAAATATTTTCACTTCATTTATAAATAATGCTCTCAACTTTAAAAAGGGTGGTGTAGTTAAAAGTATCAGAAAGTATCTTATTGAATAAAGTACTAAAATGAGAATTGCTATAAAGCATTATTTTGAGAGTTCCTATCTTTGTTTCTGCAGTAATTATTTTGGTACACTGAATAGAAATTATAAATGGTTGTGCTGATATTCAATAATTAGAAAATGTATTCCATATATTGTAAGTATGCTCCTAATAATGGCCCCAAAGAGTTTGTTTCACTTGACAGACAGCTGAGTAGAATTTTGATAAATGGTCCCTAACGGCATGAAAAAGTTTATGTACTTCTCAAAGCTTAACATCAACCAGGGAGACATTAGACCTACTTCTTCCAAAATGTCAGGCTTTAAACTCCTCTGTACTCATGCCATTATGGCTGAAATACATATTGTAAAAAATTAGTCTTCAAAGGATAAAATCACAAATCAATTTCTAATGGTTAGATTTCAATGTGAGTTTGTAAGGCCAAAGACAATTAAATTATTCATAAGAAAAATATAACTGTTTTAATATCAAGTAAACATCATCATTTATGTTAAATCAAATAGATCATGTTCAGTTAATTAGAAATTTTCCAGATGGCACCTACAAGATGCCTATAAATACTTAATAGGAAAACAGAGCAAAAGGTTTGCAGCAATTTATGCAATAATAGAACACAAAATAAACTTTTCATCAACAATTTTTTCAAGTTTTTTTTTTAACTTTATGTATTCTTTTTCTCCCTTTGCAAAGTTTAAGGCATACAATAAGAATATACCTAGTGGATACTATTTAAGTCAATGAAGTGTTTCTATGTGTTTAAGAAACACCTTATGCTCAAAGCCTGATCTCTGTTGTTAATTCATTTGCAAGAATAAATCTGACAGAGACAAGGGCAGTCAGATAAGTAATTTACACATTCAGATGAGTTTTATGGTGAACTTATTTTTAAGCTAAAATGGGGGAATGGGATCTAATGCTGTGGCTTTTGTAACATCCTTGTTTGATACTGGAAACTTTTCATTTTATAAATGAATAATAATAACAGCCTGAAAAAAATGTAAGCAACACACACTTCCAAGTGACATTTCACAATGTATTTAATTCCAGTGTCTCCTGAGGGCCAAAAAGTTAGTGGAGAGTGACTGATAACCAGACATTGAAGGATTATATTCAGAAGATGTAGAACATCACATTGCTGAGGGAAGATCAGTAACGATTAAGCTTAATATGCCAGTTTCTAAAGGTCTAGTTTCACTACTGATTAAGTTGCTGTTAGCTGTCATCTACCTCTACCTCTAGTGACACCTGTTACACAGATGCACAGAACGTGAAAAGGAACTCGTGCTTTTTACATTAAAAAACTTCCCACACTTAAAACACATGCCCACATACATTCAACAAATATTTATTGCAACACTTTAATTAGCATCACAAGATATTTCAATAAGGATAGCTATGCTCAATTTTCCTGTAAGGTCCTATTCATTCATCCTAGGCTTTTGAGAATCTTCATGTTTTTTAAGAGACCTTCCCCAAAAGTAAGGGAGAATGAATGCAATACGAATTGCTCAACAATAGGACAATGAAAGTGGAAGGAAAAGAAAAAATCAAAGCCAGCTCCGGGAAGCTTGCCAATTCCGATCCATTTCCCTTGCACTGACTCGACCGACCTAATTGGGCACCTACTGTGTGCACAAACCTGCATCGATGACCATGTACACCTCAACCCAACTCGAGCAGACTTCATGTTCTGAGAAGTCCCCAACTTGGAATGAGGTGTGTAAAGGCGTCCTCACACAACGACCAGTCCCCTGGTCTTTGTCAGCCCTCCTGAGAACAAAGGCTGCATGCCCCTGGGTCTGTGAGCCCCACACGGCGAACAGGTTTGGTCTCGGAAATCATCTGAGTGAACCCTGTGCGGGCGAGGACTGAAGTCGAGCCAGGACGACAGGGGATGGCATTTCTGCAGCAGTTCCTCTGTCTCTGGGCTCCCTCTGCCTACGCCGTACCCCACCCCTTCTACAGGTACCAGCCCTACCCTGCGGCCAACTCTCTTACAAAGAAAGTCGACATTAGTCCTAGACAACGCTGTACTGCTCAGGATGAAGCGGGGCTCGCTTCTCAGCTACTGAACCTGGCGCTTCCAAAACAGTTCAACTTTTCTGTGTGTTTAGGGGGGCTGGGGAGAAAGCAGAATACAATCAATTCCCCCCTGCCTTCTCCGGCCCCCTACCTACCCCGCACGGGTTTCCAACCCCTCGGAGAGCCTCCACCCCAGGACAGGCCGGTCCGCACCGCCCTCGCGCCCCGCCGCCCCCTCTCCCGGCTCGTGCTCTCGGCGGACGGCCCCGGACTCACCGCTGACCACCCGGCGGCACAAGGCCCCGTGGCCGCAGAGCAGTGCGGCGCCCAGCAACAGCGAGACCACGCGGCTCATCGCGGCGCGGCGGCGGCGGCGGCGGCGGCGGCGGCGGCAGCAGGTGTGGCGTGGAGCGAAGGGGCCTCTGCCAGCCGCGCAGCCGGGGCTCTAACCCCACTGCCTCCCTGCCTCCCCGCGGGGCCCTACTCCGGCCGCCCGAACCCGGCTGCCCGGCCCCCTGCACGCATCGCCTCTGGCCAGACCTGGCGCCGGGCGCGCTGGTGCCGCGCGCGAGTGTGCCGGGCTAGAGCGCACGACCCTGAGGGTGCGCGTCTAGGGAGAGGCAACAGATGTTAGGGGGTCCCGTGTCTATCCCAGAGGTGAGGCAGGAGCCTCGATTTGGACCCCACCGCGCCCTTGGCGCCTCTCCTCGGCCTCTGGCAAGTGAGGGGCTGGGCCCATGCGATCTCCTGGTCGCGGCTCCCGCAACAGCAAAGCAGCAGCTCTGCGCTGGAGGCGCCGTCTTATATACCCACATGCCGAGGTTCCAGCCCCTCGCGACTAATAATTTTTAACTACTTCGTCTCTCCTGTCATGCGGAGCATCCTGGCCCCTCCCCTAAAAACTGGAGCCACTTTGCAAACAGTCCAGTCAGCGGCCCCACCTCCTCTCCTCAGCTCCTCCCGGTTTCCTGTTTCCATTCGCTAGCCGACTGGATACTCATTTGTGTAAAATGTGACAGCTTTGCTATTAAACTCTGGCGAAAGTTGGATCCATTTGATTTTCTCAAAGATTAATGTCCACGGGGATGCCAAGTTGTGGGGCCGCTTTTTTTTTTTTTTCTGTGCTCAATTGTTTGCTCATATGTATTGCTAGATGCAGGGCACTAGCCACTATTTAAAATGGATTGGCGGAGTGGGAGCCAAAACATGCTCCGTGAATTATACAGTGTGGCAGGTTTTTCTCCACCTAGGTTCTGCAAGTAGATTACTTCCAAGCAGGCTGTTTGACTAAGTTGCCAAGGAGTAAATTAAAGAGAATGTTTGAAACAGTTTTCCCAACTGATTTCAATCTCAGTCTTTGTAGCTCTAGGGAAAACCATCAACATAAAATAAATTTTCTGAATACTTGGGAATTGCCTGGACACAAAGGTATGTATTTCTTTGTAATCATCTATCAGTGACCTGGGATTTACATCAGAAGTAAACCATTCTAAAACCTACAAAGGCACTTTTCCATAATATGACTTGGTTTTTATTGTAATAACAGTCCACCCAAGGATGCTGCATTTTCCTGGAGTATTGAAAACCAGTTCATGAGAGTTTTATCTATATCTAGTCCATGATAGGAACCCTGAGGAGGCTCTCATAATGGGCTTCAGTAGAACTGGTATTTTGCCATTACCTTGCTTTAAATGCACCAGGATTTGTTAAACGAAATCCTTTGGTTTTAATGATTTTGAAATCCTTTGGTTTTTACAGCACCTCCCTGTCTTTTGTTTTCATAAGCCACAAATACACTCAACACTTGTTGGACGGTTTTCTTAGGGAAAAAATGTCAATCTTCTATAGTAAAGACAAGTCATATAGAACAAGAAATTCTAACACTTGGAAAGATCTTAAGGATTATTAAATCCACCCTACTCAAGAAAGCAGAATTCCAAAATAATTATAATATTGTCTGTTACTTTATTTTCCTTATACAACTATTAAAGGTAATTTATTCCAGGGCCATGGACAATTGGTAAATCATGTAAAGGATATGGATTTTGTGAGTTTCTCCACCAACTAAAGGTCCAAAAGAAACACGTATTGCTGGGATCTTGAACGGAAAATGAAAAACATTAAGCCCTCAAAGCAATTGGAGGTATATGTAAGCTCAGCCCTGTAAATCATGTCAAAGAGTGTCACTGGGTATGACTGTAGTCAGAAATTTGCTCCAGGTGCCTTCAGAGTCCAGTGTGGAGGAAGAAATGTAACGATGACTGTGTGTATAAAGGCTATAGTGGAAGAAGTGTGAATGAGTATCGTGGTTAGCCTGGAGGAATGAGGAATTAGGGATCTTTGCAGGAATTCTCTAGCCACCTTCAGGTTCAGTGTTATGATCCTCATTGGCTGATGACCTGGATGACTGCTCCAGGTGCCTGAAGAACTAGGTAGGGCTCTGAATGGGAGCTCCTTTCATGCCATCCTACTCCCAGATAATCATGTGGCTCAGAGCTATCATGGAAAGGTCCCTGTTTGGGAAGGAATGCCAGTGGATTACCATAGAAGCACTGGGTGTAATTTTCCACATATGGCTAACCCCCCAAATGTCTCTAATGCCTAAAAAGCCGGCAAGTCCTTGAAGCCATTATTGGCAAGGGGGAGCCCCATGGTTTTCGTACTTCAGAAAATCCAAACTATATTAATAACTATATCCTCAATATGGTTGCACAGGCTTCCTAGTATAGTTTCTTATCTTTAGGCTATGATTATATCAGTTCAGGGTGGCCACGCCCATTAATTAGGGCTACTCAGCAGTTATTCTGGTAGCTGTTTGACTTCTGTTTGACTTCTCAGAACAAATCATTAAAGGCTCTTTTCCGATATGATGTTTTTGAGGAGACCAGCTGACAAGACCAGGTTCTTTATTTGTTTCTCCATCACTAGAAAACATCTGGATGGATCATCATTAAATTCATAGAGCACAAGTATACAATATTAGTGGTACTTGGTATTCTCTTTGAAGAGTATGGGGCAGAGGGTGTCTATCTTAATTTTTTTTTAATATAGCATATAGTAGGAGACAAACTTAAAATTGTCAGCAAAATTCCTTTTCAAAAATACAAAGTTATGGAAAGTCAGGGGAAAGCAACAAATGTTAATTTTTTAAACAAACGACTTTCATTGTTTTTTCCTGTGAATACGCACAAGGTATCACAGGAGACAAATGACTTTCTCATAGCAAACATATTTTAGTCCCAGAAATTTAACTGCTTTTGAATCAATCAGGAGATGAGGGCTCCCACAAGAGTAACCAAGAGAACCTGAAGTTATGTGAAGAATGTTTGTGCATGTGTAGAGCTGGGCTTTCACATTCCCTGAAACCAAGGTGTGACAAGACCATGTGACTGGTGACTGGCAAATCAGGAGAGAGGTCTGTTGCAAGTCAAGATTCTTTGACCAGTTTAAAAAAACAAAACAAAACAAAAACAACTCAAATGAGAACTTCAAACTGATTAGGCTAAGGAGTTCAACATTGATTCAACAACCTAAAACATTACTCTTCAAGGCCCAGAATAGAAAGGTGATCTCAACAAGAGTGATCCCAAAGAAATCTCAGGCAGAGTCAACCACTGCATCACCAGAAGCTCTGAAACATCAACTAAGCAACAATATCTGGAATCCAAAGTCTTGGAAAGTGACATCAGGGCCCTTAATAAAACACTATGGAATCTGTATGCCCCAAATATACAACCTCCTCCTTCATTCTCCCTATTCCTTTTCAAACGTCTGCAATTCTCAGTGAGCACCTGTTTTGTGTGCCCATTAATAAGCCTCAGGAACAGACAGTCTGAATTACAGGTACTGATTTGCACTCAGTAGCTTCTCACTTGGGCAGCTCTGTACAGTGGCTTCAGCCTCAGCTGGGTTCACTCATATGTGTGCCAGAGCAAAAAGTGACAAATGTGGTTGTCTTACTCAGTTCGGGCTGCTGTAACAAAGTACCATAGACGGGTAGCTTACAAACAACAGAAATTTGTTTGTCACAGTTCTTAAGCCTGGAAATTGGAGACCATGGTACTGGCATGGTTGGGTTCTAAAGAGGGCACTCTTCTGGGTTTCAGACTGCCAACTTCTGGTTAGGTCTTCACATGCAGGAAAGACAGCTGAAGAGCTCTCTGGGGTCTCTTTTATAAGGGGACTAGTCACATTTATGAGACCTCCACTCTCATGACCTAATTACTGCCCAAAGGCCCCACCTCCTAATGCTATCTCATTGGGCAGTAGGATTTTGACATGAGAATATGGAGGGGGATACAAACATTCAGTCCATTGCAATGGCTACAAAGGGGATTTGTTATATTTAAAATTATTACAACTTCATATTAATATATTTGAAATGTTATTGGAATCCAATAGTAACTAGTTTATTCATTCTATTACACTTTAAAGATGGTAAATGATTCTCCTGAGCATTATCAATAACACTGCCAAGACATAATAAATATTTGAAAGTGAAAAATAAACCTATTACAATATAACCACTTCAGCAGTAGGTGAAAACTGTTTCTTTTTTTCTACATAATGGTTAGCTGTCACTTCCAGGAAGAGACCATTGAATCCAAGGTTTCTCCTCCCAATTCTTCAGAGGTGACACCTTGGCATTTGTGCAGTCCTGTGACTGCCTTGAATGCAAGGATGAGCAGCTGGT